TAGAATACCTGACTTGAACATTTACACATAGCATTTCCAGTTTGAATGGCTGCAGGGTGGCTTGGTGGTTAGATCCCCGGTTTGCATCTCCATGAGGACGCCGGGGATCTTTCTGTGTGGAGTTTGGTTCTCCGGCTTCCTCCCACAAAAACATGTTGAGGTTAATTGGTGATTCTAAATTGTCCATAGATGTGAATGTGAGTGTTTGGTTGTCTGAGTGTCCCACTCTATCACATTATGTGTAGCCCTGTGATAGACTGGTGACCTGTCCAGGGTGTCCCCTGCCTTCACCCTGAGTCAGCTGGGATAGGCTCCAGCCCCCCTGCGATCCTAGTGAGAAATAGGCGGTGTATAGATAATGGATGGATTTTCAGTTTGTGTTACGGATGAAGTCTTTGGATGCTCTGGCAGTGTGTACTGTTGAGGGCTGAAGGCCCAGTCAATGGGATTTTTTGTACCGAGGCAGATTAAATGTATCAGCACATTTCTGAATTCATCCTGCTGCTGCCATCATCTGTTTTATCACCAATAAACTCAAGTGAGTCCGTTCCAGCAGCAGATGTATGTGTCCAGACCCTGACATGACCTCTGTGATGAGCAGAAATGGTTTGGATCATTTGCACTTGTGTTATTTATTTTTTAGACACTTTTGGCTTTCCAGCACTTTGGCAAAGGTTCACAGTGTCTCATCTTTCCATAAAACTCTGCTCCACAATCTGGTTTGTTTTTGTATTTTTTGGCAAATTCCAATCTAAATGTCAAATGGACATTTTTTATTTATTTTTTTAAACTTTGCAGTGTTGTTGCCTCATTTACACACACACACACACACACACACACACACCTACAAATAGCAACGACAACGACACATCGGCGTGTGGAATTATTTCATTTGTCAATTTCCAATTTAAACACATTAAGTCAATGAAAAAATAAATGTTAACGTACCTTTTGGGGCACCATACCAATAAAAACAAGTTGCTTGTGGCTGAGTCTGTCATGCATAGCGATCTGTTTGATGCACTGTGGGACCTACTTTACTTCAGATCACGCTTTGCTTACTGTCTATTTGCTTTTTTATATTTGTTGTTTGGGTTTAATTTTTCTGCGGAAACTTTTTCTACAGCAAACCTTGAAATAGTTTCAGAATTTTCCCTCAAGCAAAATGATGATCTTTGTAATCATTTTGGTTTCTTACACTTCTTTAAAATCTCTTTGGAATCTCTCGTTCAAAGTTTACTACATCACTGTAATGGCATGAAGTCAGTTTCAAATGTATATCACACATAATCTTTACTAAATGGGTAACTTTTTTACTAAAGAAATAACTGCATTTTGGCCAGAAAGTAATGCTGCAGTAGTAAAGAGAAGTTGTACAAATTTTAATTATGCTGTGCTAATGAATGCTAGCTCAAAGTTAATGGATACAAAGTTTGGAGCAATGAATGAATGAATAAGTTCTTCCATTTCTTAACTGTCCACAGATGATCCTGAGGAGTCTCATCCATACTGGGAACCCTCCCACTGCAGCTGTCAACACGGTGAGCAGCAGGACAGTCCACAGAGAGAGACCACTGAGGCTGACAGGATTGAAGGTGATGGGACCAACCTGGTGGATAACCGTTCTGAGGATGTTACAGGAGGAGCAGAGGCTGAGGAAGCAGAAGATCCGAGCAAAGATACTGAGAAACAGTCTGATTTTACAGCAGCGAGCGAAGAAGATGTGGGACCGCAGAGTGATTTAGGAGTAAATGAGCCCGAGGAAAGGCATGAACACAAGGAGGGAGCGGATCAAATAGATCTGGGCATCCCAGAGGAGGACCTGCCCGGAGTTCTGAAGGAGCTGGAGTTCACGCTGAAGATGACAACCATGATGGAGCAGGAGCGGATAGAGGACCTCAACAGGCCCACAGAAATGTCCTCCGGCTCTGTCAGACGGAGGAACAAGAGGAAGAGGGCAAAGAAAGCTGTGCACTGATTCCAACATGGAGAACATAAACTTGAGCCTGGGCCTGGATGTGAGGACAGATTCTGTTTTTTATGTCTGTTCTCATCAGAATAGCTGCAGCATGAAAGTTGGTGATAGCATGAAAATGAATCACCAGCCTTGTTTATCTTTACTTGAAGTGTAGAAATGTGTGTACAGGGTGGTTTTTATAGCATTAATATAAGCTTTGTTAATATGCTACAAACTATGAAGTCTTAAAACATGGATCTTATTTATACAATGCTCACTATCTAATACAGTAATACAAGTCTGAGTAATGCAGAAGCTCATCAGGGTTTTGACGTAACTTTGTGATAACATAAAAATGTTCGCAGGACTTTTCCACATCAAACCTTGATTTCTAATAGTCCGAAGAAGTGTTTTGATCTGCCAGAGGTGTTGAGTTACTCTTTTTATGTGTCAGCAGATAATCCAACCTTATTCACATTAAGTGCTTCAATTAGAAGTAGTTTTAAAATGTAGAAATAAAGAGTAAACAAGTAGAATCAGACAAAAAAATGGGAACACTTATGCAATTGATGGATGATGGGTTATTAATATTTAGAATACTGGATTTCAAAGGGATGGTTGTGCCTTTTCTCACCTTTGTCAGCCATAAAACACTACAAAACCCAATCAAACTGCTGTCATGGCAAACTTCATCTGATTTTACATCCAAGATGAGAGTTTTTGGAGACTGGGCTCCGAGGAGCCCTTTCACACCCTTAGCGTTAACAGTTGAAGTAAAAAAGCTGTATTTAATTTAAGAAAAGGTGTCAATACTTGTTGTACATCAATAGCTTCCTTCCTGTTCTCTGATCAGTGCTGACAGAAAAATCTCTTCTGTAACAGTCATTTTAAGTTGCTGTCAGAAAAGCACATCAGTGATTGAAATACTGTGAATAAATTAAATACATTTTTCTTCCAGTTTCCTCCTGGCTTTGATTTATTTCATTCTACATCACTGAATCAAACTGTTGAACCTCCCTCTGTTTGACACCTGCAAGATATTAATAGTCATTGTACATCAGCGGTGTGACATTTTCAGTGGGTGACAAATGTAATGAAGAGCAGCAGCGCATTTCAAAAAAAAGACTTTATTACTTGTATATTGATACATTTTACCCATACAAAAACAACATCACATGGGTTGATGTTAGCAGAGAATATTTTGGATCAACTGTTTTGCAAGTGGCACGTCACAACAAATTTGCCCTCTAAGACTTCAACTTGCAGCAAGCATCAGGTTGGTGGTTGACTCGCTGCCTTAGTGCTCCATTGGTTCATCAGGAGCTTCTCCAGCGGCAGGTTCGTCTGCAGGTTGAGCAACCTGAGACACACAAAAATGTGGGTTTTTTTGTTGTTTTTTTTGTTAAAAAAATAAATAAATAAAAGATTATACTGTAAACATGCTGACTAATTAAACAGCCAAAACTGGACTGGATAAATCTTTGCAGTACCTTTCTCTGTGGTCTCTCCTCCAGACCCTCCAGGAATGGGGCAACATCATCATCATCATAGATGGTGAACTCCATCTCCTTCCCCACAATGCCAATGGAAACATTCTGTGGGAATAAGACAAATACCTGAGAAATGGCCACTATGCTAATATACATTTTTAAAAAAATCTATAATTAAAGAAAAGAAAAGACGAAATGAAGAATTACATTATAACCTACACACAGCTTAACAAATACAGGTGCACCAGGACAAGACCTCATGGGTGAGGCAACCCCAGTTTAATGTAATGAAAGTCATTACAAAGCTCTGCTGTCAAAGGTTTTTTTCTCCACAGGAAAGAGAAGTGCAGGTTGCATTTTAGACACAGATGAAGACAACGATGATTCATCTCCTGTGTAAAAGGATTTGTGAAGAAGGGTACCGCATCAGACAGAAGTGGAGGGATCTGACGTACCTTGGTGGTGAGGTCCTGCTCGGTGGGCAGGGTTTCTCTGAGAGCACGGAGACCATGCTGGACCAGATCATTCAGATTACCTGAAAACAACAGTCACTTGTCAATCTAATGGTCCACATTTGTACTGTGAGTTGCTAAATAAGATGACAATGTGACTAAATTTTGAAAAATGTCACAAACTGTCCTCATTTAACAAATAAAGACACTGTAATAAGTTTTTCACAAATCTATGAATAAAAGTTAAAGTAAAATTGATTGTAGGTGTTCTTTTGCAGCATTTGGCAGGAAGCTTCTTGTTCCATGCAATTTCTTTTAAGTAAAAATGTGTGTGATTGATTCTAAAAAAATAAAAAATAAAAATGGGATCTCACAGTCAGGGAACTTCTCCATGCATCTCTCCAGGTAGGTGCGTGCCGACTGGGAGCGTGCTCCGATTGACATGGCTTTGCAGTCAAAGTAGTTTGCTGACGGGCAGGTCTGGAAGATGTGAGGTCCCATGTCCTGTGTGACGCCCAACAAATAAATATGAGCCATGGTGACAATTTCATATTCCGTTAGTTAGTCCTATGTGTCAATCAAGAGAGATGTTTCATAATCAGAGTGTGTGAAGAAACTTACATCAAAGCCAGCAATGAGGAGTCCAACACCGTAGGGCCTCCTTCCATATCTCTGTGTTGGGATTTGGGTTTCTGAAGCTTCAGTCAAGGATCACTGCTGCTATTTACACCTATTACTTTCATTTTCAGAGTCAGCCTATCTGAAAACAATATGTTCAGTTTCCTTTAATCAGATGGCCACATTCTTCTTCTTCTTATTAATAATAATAACAACAATAACAATAATAATAATAAATCCATCCTTAATAATGAAATGACATTTTCATTTAAGCACTTTAACAGTAGAGAGGATACTGCTGCCAACAAGAGACACAAGACGTGATGTAGGGAGGGGCCTGTCAAAGACGAATCTTGAGTCCAAGCACTCCTGACGCATGAAGTTACTGCAGGACAGATGGAGTTGGTGTTACATAAAACACATGTTGTATTAAAATAAGCAGCTTCAAAGAAGAAGCTAACTCAACAAGCCGTGACCTACCAGAGCAGCCTGGCATCAGCAGTCAGTCCAGCAATGGAGATGCCGACGTGGTTGTCGACATGAAGGATCTTCTTCTGGTGGGCAGCCAGTTCAGACTGGGCTCTCTGCAGAGTTACAAAACAGGCTGCATCAATCTAATGTGATCATTTATTTTCAATTTCACTGACACCACTACAGTGCTGCAGGCTTTTTTGGGTGTTGGGCTGTGCCATAATCTATTTCAATGACACAGAGATCAGTTTTTTTCCCCCCAGGGTGTGAATTTTTTTCCACAGCAAATAAATAAATAAAATAAAACACTAAAACAAAAACAAGATACTATTTAACACCACCAGGGACTTTGTGTTAATATTATTAAGAGTTCTGAGTAAACATATCCTCAGAAACACACTACAGATCAAGGAGAGGTCGATAATTATGTAGAAAGTGGGTAACATTATTAAAAACTGTTTTAAAATATTTATTAGACCACCCATTGTTTTCTTTACAAAGCCTACACAACAGGCATTTACCATTTGTTTGCATTTCATCATAGTAGTGAAGTAAGTCTAATAACCATTTCAAAAGATGTTTATTTTTCCAAAGCAGATTAATTTACAGCCTTAACTTGATATGGTTTATATACAACCATGTGCATCGACCAGATTAATGCAAGGCTCCAAAGCAGAAGCTGATTGCAACAACATGAAAATGCAACAAGACAAAACGCTGCGTGACTGTACCTTTAGTGCAACCAGGACTGCGTGAGTTCTGGATTTAAGTCCTACAGTGGCAGACCCCTGCTTCACTGCCTCCATGGCATACTCGATCTGATGAATACGGCCCTGTGCACGCATGGACACGGATGACTTTGTTAACAAATCAAGCTTTGGCATGTTAACGACACAAACACGCACTTTATCTGTGAAGTCAAGTGAAAGACTGATGTTGAGACAAACGGCTTCTTACCTGTGGGCTCCATACTGTCACGTCGTTGTCGTACTGATTGCGAAACTAAAAACAAAAACAAGCAACAATTTAAAAGTGACGTTAAAACAGATTATCATTATTATATAACACATTAGGCTCCTAACTTACATAGTTGTCCTGCATTATGAGCTATTCTCTCGGTCACATGCTGTTTCTACGAGCACACAGGGTCCCCAGTCTGTTTGCAGCCTGGACTTTTCTAGACTTCGGTTTTAAATGACTAACATTACTAAATAATTCAGAAACCCGCATTTGTGCTCAGTCTCTTACGACAGAGAATCATGCAACCAAACACAACCATCACACCAGCTACGGTTGCTAATAGTGATGTTGAACACTGCGTACCAACATAATTAAATCCCTGGAAAAGCTAGCTGACATTAGCTAAACAACATTTACACTGTACTAAAATCAGTACGGAGACTTTAGTTATGTTTGTTGCCCAAATAAACTATTAGCCTGTAGCCAAAGGACGGTAAGTTAAGTGAAAACGAAAGTAACAACTTGGTACTTCCATTGCTAGTTCCAGTGATGCTAACTCAACCTAATGTGGCTAACTTTTGCTAGCTACATGCTACAAGCGAACTACGTAACCAGTTGACTTATAGGCAGCATCGGTATTTTTATTACAGTATTAGAGAGCTAATTGATTATTTAGTGTTATATAGCCCGACAAATATTAGCCGTAGGCCGCATTATGCGGCTGACGTTAGCAGCGACTGAAGGTGTTTTGCTTACTCACAGTCCAGTCACTGCTAGCTAGCTAACGTTAGCTTGGTATAAGTAAATGGATGCTTTTTTCTCAGGGTGTCCTTGCACATCATAAAACATAAACTTGCTGTGCTATTTATTTACTCCGAAGACATGACATATAATGTTAACCTGACCGACAAAAATCAAATTTCATTCATACTTACCATCTCTGCTACTGGAAGTGTCTCGTCTCCTCCGCCTGTGCGCTGATCCTAACTCGATTAGTTTTCCTGGACAGAGCGTCAGGGGAAACTAGCAGAGCCCCGATTTCAAATCAGTGAACAACTAGTAAACTTCGTTGCCAACCAATCTCATCTTATCTAGGCTCATTTAGTCCATTTAATAAATAAATAAATAAATAAATAAATAAATAAATAAATAAACCGATGCAAAATCAAGATAATTATATGCATTAACAAATGAGACAAAAAAGGATGAAATCTATATTATACACAACTACAGCACTACGTTATTGTACTTAATAAATATAAATAACTGAGCGGTTCACTTGCCGGTTAATAAGCAGCGCCGTAAACTGTGCAAGCATTTAGTGATTCACTTTTATATTTTTATTCTAGATGTATACGTTCTTTTTTTTTATCTGTTATGATTATTTTGTTTATTTTACTGTCAGTGGTCATTGATTCATATATTATCGTTGCCATTTTTATTAACGTTCCATTTCCACTTGATATTGCCTTTTCTGAACTATTCGCATGTCTTATCTATCGCACAAACAGTAATTTCCTAAACATACAACATGATTTACAGTTTTACATTTTGATACTACATGAAATTATTAAGGTGTAACTTAACGATGGTTTCAACATTTCCTTTAAAATAGGCGGATATGTTAAAAAAAAAACCTCCATACTGCATAAAGTAAACTTTAATTATATTAAATGCTTCCTGTGGCTAAGTCTCCTTGTAGTTTTTATTTTATTTTATTGCGTCTTTTTCTTTTCAGCACTGACTGGGCAGCTGCAGTGTTTTTACATGAACACTAGGCGGCAGCAGTCCGTTAGAAGAAGACACTGGCTTCAGGCTTCACTGGGTTCTCGACACTGACAAGGAACATGAATTACTTTCTGTTGTTACAGTCATCTTTGAACAAAAAAATTCAAATCAAACACTAACAAGTCCTCCTACAGGCAACAATACTGGGTATTTTACAGTCTGCTTTGTCGAGTTTTGATGTTT